TTCCTTCCTGTGCAATGCCTCAGAGATATCTTCTGCCACTCATAAAATATGTATCGTGTCATGATTTAATGTGCTTTTTTATATCAGCGAGAAATTATGGGAAATCGAAAGAGAGCTTCCAGATGAGGCCCTCAGCTTGTTTGTCGGTCAAGTGTGGAGTAGAACGATTTTGCGGGAAAATCTTCTGTTTTTCGAGTATATACAGATATTTTTAAGTGTACTTTCTACTCTAACACCCTTCCAATTCACTCTACATTCACCTCACTGGTTTGTTTGTCAGTTATATACAATCCGGTTTTGCCTCCTACATCGCGTACCGTAGGTATATGAACTGCTTCATCAATGGTCTTTCGCTGTTATCGAAGAACTGACGAAACAGCTGTGTAAATCAAAGTGCTCATCATTATCAGTATATTTTACTGTAGCTGGCAACAATGATGGACAGGTCTTTGAGATTCGCTCAGGGGAATATACGAATTTGTCGCGAGCCAAGGTGTTATGAAGAATTGGTGCCTCGCGACGAAGATTTGCATAGCAGTCGTTATGTAAATCAGTGGCATGGGCCACTGAATTAGTTTCATGGCGATATATCGATTGTTATGCCATTTAAACCTATGGTAAAGAATCAATTATTAAGGTGTTCGCTGCGAACACCCTGTTCATCGATACTTTTCCATAGGTTTAAATGTCATAAAAATCGGTATATCGCAATTCACGCCACGCCACTGATGTAAATGAAACCCCTCTGTCCTCTCCTTTCGTTGCACTTGATAGTGCAAATTTTCCTTTGATTCGAATGAAATACTTAAAAGGAAAAAAATTTGATTCGACCTTTAGGTGTCAAAGCGACGGATCAACAGTTGAATCGGTAGGTGTTAAAATCGATTATGCTCATATAAAATGAACCCTAGAATACAAGCATTCCTTTGGACCTCAGAGCTCATCGAACAGTGGATGTGGTAGACTTAAAAATCTAACAACTCAGTTTAATGTGACAGTCCAACCGAAATTCGCCAAAATCCCCGATGGCAAGTCTGATAATTCTGTCTGGTCTGTTTGTGGAATAAAAATTCGGGCATATAATTAACCTTTTTTGGGAGCTTGCGAGACCTAAAAATACACAGTTGTGTAATATGTTTTTGTTGAAACGGGATTGTGCTCTAAGAATTCTTTGAGTGTCGGGCAAACATTTTCACTACACCACTGAGATAAAGTCGTAAACCTCATCCCGCTTCCTTTAAAAAGTAGCTCTTGCACTTGACAAGTCGCCAAAGTTTGCAATTTGCGTGGAGAAAAAGTGCAACTCCAAAACACTTACTCTCTCGTGCCAAGGAAAAACGCCGCGCCGTATTTGCATGCCGTCAAACAGAGCTGGATTTACCTAATTGCTGCCCATGGGCTGCCTGTATTTTGCCACCCCCTTCTCATTCGTTTTAATTAAAACATCAATAAAAACAATCAAGTGAACGTGCCGGAAGGGGAGGGGTGCATAAGGCGCGTTTACTCGTGTTGGGCGCATTTTTTGTGAAAGCCCTGTTAACATCAGCCAAAGTTCACGGAACTTTGCGCGAAAGTTAAGTTCTGTAAACCTATCTCTGTGTGAACAAGGTCTTCTATTTGTAAGAAATGAACGTAAAAATTATGCAAGAACAAACATAAATGTGGTTTAATAATTATAACCTCCGCCGCCGCGCCACGCTGACCGCATTGTGTTTGACGCAATGCGTAAAGCATTCAAGAAGTCTAGTAGGCGCTATGCGTTTCCCGCTGACTGCACTGCTTTAGACGCAATGCGTGAAGTATTCATGCGGTCTTGTAGGCACTATGTGTTTCACGTCAACCGCTGCGCGCTGCTGACCGCACTAACAATAAGTTTGACGCGATGCGTGAAGTATTCATGCAGTCTTGCAGGTGCTAATATGTTTTACATTCCAACCGCCGCAATGAGGGCTTCTCCTTTTCATCTCAAGTCCTCATCATCATTGCTCTCTGCGCCGCGTCGCTAAACGCCGAATTGCGTGTTTGGTTTCTCTCTTGACTCGACTTATTAAAGGTGATGTCTCTTGTGTCACCGAAAGACGCTTTTCGCGTTTGTAATTTTTTTCTGAATAGCATTTGACGTTTTTCTTTAACGCAGTAGAAATATAGCTCGATGTGAAACTGCTTTCGGGAATGTAGGACCAGGGATTAAATGAGGAAAGCACCCGATCATAAAGGAATATGGGAACATCCCCCGGTAAGTGCTCGGGGATTCGGGAAATCTAGCTTCCCGGACAGGAAAATGCACACTTTTGCCCATTTATACGGTAGTCTCTCACACTTTGAAGAACCAACAGGATCGTCCCCGGAAAAGTATTCGATTATTCTTATGGGAATTTTATCCGTTCCACTCGAGTATTCCCTGAAACTATGATCCCAAGGTAGGACTCCTTTTTCTTAAGATTTCACCTTTTTCCGGGTAACTCGGTCAGTATACAAAATGTTTTTATGGAGATTTTTAAATCTTTTATTCCTTATATCCCTCTTTTCTTCCTCTTTATTCCCCTTTTTATCCCTGGGAAGTTTGGTTAAAACTTTTGACAATAACCACCCTCCATCCTTTCTAAGTTTAGGTAAAGTAGCGCCCCTGGTCAGTAGCTGTAAAATCTTCGGACGATTTGGCTCAGATGTACTCTAGTAGTGCGAACGTGATATGCGAAGTGATAGGTGACTAATAGTAATAGTAATGGACGAGCGTCATAAAGATGAACAGGAGCTCATCGTGGATTTACGACCCATTATTGGCCGTTTCACTGGGAGCCGGCCGCGCCGCAGCCGGGAGAGCACAGCTTGCGCGACCGTAAACTTCTGGCGAAGAGCGAGATTTGACCTCACGGCTACGAGGTTGAGTGTGGCTCAGAATAAACACAGCATGATGGATATACTGTACCACCAGCCTGTGAAAAATGACGGAATTACATCAACGCGCACATCAATTATGCAGCGTGCTCCACAGAGAAATGGAGGCATTTTTTCTTATAAAAGAGCGCCTAGTGGAAAACTAGGTTTTGAGAAAAACAAACTGTGACAACTTTTTTGAAAAATATTTTTAAGTACTTGAAAAAATATTAGAAATCCTGTTCAGGTATTGATCTTGAGCATTGCCATCAGGGCCGGATTAAGGGGGTGGCCACATGGGCCGCGGCCCATGGCGGCAAAATGTAGGGGTCGGCAACTTTTGCAATCTTTTTGAATGTAGGTATCAAAAAAAAAGAGAGGAAAAATTGGATTCAGAAAATAAATTACAAACGATAAGAGGTAAAAAAATCTCACATTTTCTGAGAGTAAAATTATAGTAATTTCTAATTTTGTCGTCTTTCGGTGATACAAGAGATAACACCTTTAATTAGTCGAGTTAAGAGAGAAACCAAACACGCAATTTGACCTGGGACGGAGCGGCGCGGCGGTCGGCATGAAACGCATAGCGCCTACAAGACTGCATGAATACTTCACGCATTGCGCCAAACAGTGCGGTCAGCAACGGTCGGCGTGAAACGCATACCGCCTACAAGACTGCATGAATACTTCACGCATTGCGCCAACACAGTATGGTCGGCGTGGCGGAAGGTAAAATTATTAACCACATTCATCCCTGCTAAAAATGTTCCGTGTGGATGATTTCCATGAAGTTGATTTCCATGAAAATATGACACGGAAAAATGGAACAGGAAATATTTCCATGTGGCTGATTTCCGTGTGGCTGATTTCCATGTGGCTTATTTCCATGAAAATTTTTCATGGAAACGAAATCATTTCCGTGACAATTTTTCATGGAAAGAAAACCATTTGCATAAAAATGATCACAAGAAGGTTTCAGTACCATCCAAATTGCTCACGGAAATTCAATAAATCTTAGAATCAAGACAAAGGAGACAAGCGTCCCAATGGGAGCACATGATATTTGGACCATGCAGACATGCTCAGTAAAATAGAAAATGAACAAACAACACTCACCAACTCGCTCAAGTCTGTAATCCACTGGGTCAGAAAAATCCACTTGAAGACAATAAATCCAAATTTCCGATTAGAACTGGTGCAGGTACGAAGGAACTTTTGAAAACACGATGAGTGCATTGTAAAAATATCTAAAGCACTCTTTAACGTAAGAGAAAAATTAGCACCATGATTTACTAGCTGATCAATACAGAACACCACTCTCAGAAAAGCACTGACACAACACGATTTTTCAGTTTAGTTTTAGAGGAGAAAGCATTTTTCAAAAGATGCGACATCATAGATCCACAGCTTAAATAATTTCACGATTTACTACGATCATTGATGATATTAAGGTAGCCATCGATTCTCTACCCGACGTTCCTTCCACACATGACAGGAAACATCTACAGGCATAGAGCAAATGGCACTGAGCAGCAATGTACATCTGATAAGGCAAGCTCCTGGAAGTGTCGATCTGCAAAAATACAAAGCGGGAGACAGATCATCAAATTGATCTACCTATGGTTAATGGCCGTCCTTGGAGACAGACAATAAACTACGTAACAATATATCAACCACCTTTTGATAACAGAACGAATTTAAAATGAGAGCAAGACCCTTCCTTATGGAGGGAGGGCCAAGAAACATTTAAAAACGGAACATTTTACTACTGACAGGTCTGAGCCACTGAATAAAATACATTCCACCAGTCAATAAAATTTTAAATTTTGAATGTTGATGGATAACCTGATTGCCAGTATACATTGAGTTGAAACCAGTTGAAACATCTGATACGTAGAGCGGTTCATTCTTATAGAAGCTTCCGAAGTAGTTCCAGATAGGTACTTTAAAATTAGACACCGGTCAAATGTAGTACAAGAGAGGAAATGGGTGCAACAAAACTTTAATTGTCCTTGATTCTTTTGTGAAAGGTGTGAAAGTGAAAAATTATTCATTAAATTACTTACTTGAGGTGATGTGGTGATGTGAGAGATAAATATAACCTAACTTTTGTAAAGATGTTCCTAGTTCCTGGAATAATCGTTCCTTGCCGATACTTCCAGGGTTGTATTTATTATCTAAATAATTATCAGGCAAATGTTTTCAAAAGGATTAAAATACAAAAACTGGCTTTCTATAATCATTATAGCGGCTGATTTTCACTCATTTTCATACGCAACCTCGATAAAAAGGCAAAAGGCGGAACCGCGGAATGGTCCCTCGTCCAACTGTTCGATGTCCAACTCGCACTCGGAACTCCGGCCGGACCATTTTTCAATTCAATCCACCCAGCCAGCCAAGCCATGCCATGCCGTGAATTTCAAAATGAAAACTTAATTTGATCTACTTTTCATGATTCTTAACGAAGAATCGATTGTATTATCGGCGTCTACTTGACTATACTCAGTTTCATCGAACACAGGTAAATTATCTCTCTTTCACTTCTTGACGACGGACACACCTAAGTATGAGCCTGTCACCTTGTACTTACATTACACATTTGTCATGTCAAGCTATACTGATCAAGTAACTCGAGTTTAATTTTCTTTGCCGATTTACGATTCAGTCGATATGTTCTAACGAGCGAGGTAATTGTGAATTCTATTCTCTTGGTTTGCGAATGCATTTACTACCATGTGCTATTCCTAACCGTGGTTACGAAGTTGATCGAAGAGTCTACGTCTAATAAATCTATCCACTCCTTCCGTGGGAAGGGAGATAATCTTTCATCTATTTAGCATTGAAGGGAAAGACCAGAATCAAGATGGTGGATCTTCTGTTGCACTCTCTAAGTGCAAATCTTATTATCCGCGGACTTCATCACAAGTAGAAACTTCCCAACTCTTGCAGGCGAGTGCTATAGGTAGTCTGTTGGAACATCCTCATACTGCCTGCATTTTCCTTGTGTCTTCAAAAGAATCAAGGACAATTAAAGTTTTGTTGCACCCATTTCCTCTCTTGTACTACATTTGACCGTTGTCTAATTTTAAAGTACCTATCTGGAACTACTTACGAAAGCTTCTATGAGAATGAACCGCTCTACGTATCAGATGTTTCAACTCAATGTATACTGGCAATCAGGTTATCCATCAACATTCAAAATTTAAAATTTTATTGACTGGTGGAATGTATTATATTCAGTGGCTCAGACCTGTAAGTAGTAAAATGTTCCGTTTTTAAATGTTTCTTGGCCCTCCCTCCATAAGGAAGGGTCTTGCTCTCATTTTAAATTCGTTCTGTTATCAAAAGGTGGTTGATATATTGTTACGTAGTTTATTGTCTGTCTCCAAGGACGGCCATTAACCATAGGTAGATCAATTTGATGATCTGTCTCCCGCTTTGTATTTTTGCAGATCGACACTTCCAGGAGCTTGCCTTATCAGATGTACATTGCTGCTCAGTGCCATTTGCTCTATGCCTGTAGATGTTTCCTGTCATGTGTGGAAGGAACGTCGGGTAGAGAATCGATGGCTACCTTAATATCATCAATGATCGTAGTAAATCGTGAAATTATTTAAGCTGTGGATCTATGATGTCGCATCTTTTGAAAAATGCTTTCTCCTCTAAAACTAAACTGAAAAATCGTGTTGTGTCAGTGCTTTTCTGAGAGTGGTGTTCTGTATTGATCAGCTATTAAATCATGGTGCTAATTTTTCTCTTACGTTAAAGAGTGCTTTAGATATTTTTACAATGCACTCATCGTGTTTTCAAAAGTTCCTTCGTACCTGCACCAGTTCTAATCGGAAATTTGGATTCATTGTCTTCAAGTGGATTTTTCTGACCCAGTGGATTACAGACTTGAGCGAGTTGGTGAGTGTTGTTTGTTCATTTTCTATTTTATTGAGTATGTCTGCATGACAGATGTCATCCATTATTACTTTGCATGATGCATATTTAGCTGAAAGATTCTCTTTACACATGCCTAGTGGAAGATACATGTGGGTTTGGAACTGCTAACATGCGAACTTTGAAAAACTACGCTGCTATGATATAGAAAATCCTACAAGTCCAAGAAGGTCTATGCGCTGATATCAATTACATACTGACATATACCCGTCAAACAAGTTCCCATGGCTGTCATAGATGGCCTGCCCACAAAGTATGTCTGAAAGGGTGGCCCTAATTTTCATCAGGGAGCTTTGAGTACACCATGTACTTTTTAAGATTATTGTGCTTATTATTGCTTTCACTTGAGTGTAGATGTAAGTACATACTAAGCTTTTATCCATCATACATTTTGGCACATTTCTTTAATTATTGAGCTTCATAAAATTTCAGGTACTTGATTTTCAGGGGCTGAGATCGAAATCATATCATTAAAAAAAATTGGTTCCAGCAATTCTTTTCAAATTCTTTACAAAAAAATTTAGAGGATTTAATAACTGAAGATAAAAACATAACATGCTAAACACTACCTTCTGATGAAAAAGTACTTAAGTGATGACCAAAATTGAGACTTTTTTCGATCACCCTGATATGGGGATCTTCTTCACCTCCTTTCTAAACATACGCCTGAGAAGAAAAAATTTGACTGCTAATGCAACCCGCAACAATGATCGTATAGCTCTTCTTTCGGTTTTTTCCTTTTTCCCTTCATTTCCCCCCCCCCTTCCAAAACTTAAGATTTTTCCTTTTCATGTCATAATGAGCCCATAGCACAGAAGTTTTCAAAAATGATTGGAATTCACGAAATTTCATTTTATGAAGTTACATATAAAATCTTGCATCTCTGGTTTGAACCGTATACCGAGTATAATTCCTTGGCGCGCACCTTGCGGAGCGCCTTCAACATCGTAGTTATGCTTCAAACGCGACACTCACGCTCCGATGTGTAATTTTCGCATGTTGCGCATGTCGGAGCGTATGTCCAGTTTAGAATTGCCCAAAAATTGAAAGATTTTAAAGCCGCGAAATTCATGTTTAAATCCGCAATTTTTATTTCCATGCCGAACTGAGAAGGGGATTTTCAATTCCATGAAGGCTTGATGGAAATGACTTGGTTTCCGTGTGAGTTGCATGGAAGTGTTATGAGTTCCATGTCGAGCTCACAAGGAAATATTTTCATTTCCATGAAGACTTGATGGAAATGACTTGGTTTCCGTGTGAGTTGCATGGAAACGTTATGATTTCCATGTCGAGCTCACAAGGAAATGTTTTCATTTCCATGACGGCTTGATGGAAATGACTTGGTTTCCATGTGAGTTTCATGGAAACGTTATGATTTCCATGTCGAAGGACATGGAAGTCAGACGATTTCCATGAAATCACATGGAAATCGGATCATTTCCACGTGAATCCACATGGAACATTTTTAGCAGGGATGTTTGTTCTTTCATAATTTGTTCGTTCGTTTTTTATAAATGGAAGGCCTTGTCCAAACAGGGATGGTTTTACGGAACTGAACTTTTGTCAGTGTTGACAGGGCTTTCACAAAAAATGTGCCCAACACAAGTACACGCGTCTCGTACACCCCTCCCCCACCGGCACGTTCACTTGATGGTTTTCATATATCGTATTCGACTGATCACACAGGTGAGATTATATTGATGTCGATTGATTCAATATGTAACCACAGCCTCAAAAGTCAATTTAGATATCTGAGGTAACGGGTCTTATGTGATCCAATTTTTATTCTCTCGAGTACCAAAATGGCAATGAAAAGTGAAATTGTCAAGAATGTCAGAATTGTCAATGCAGAATAAATTTCACGAAAATTACTTTGAATTACTGTATGTATTACCGAAATTTTATAGCTCTTTAAGCTAAATCTCAAAATTTAAGGTAATTTCCTGGTCTCCGATGTCAATAGCCTAGTCACTGATCGTCATAATTTGTTAATTAACTAGCTAACTATTTAAACTGTGATGTTTGTACTTTAAACGCCGAAGAATAATTTTTGAATTTTTTTCGGTTCTTTTTTAATAAAAGGAACACATCGCAAAGGATTTCAGCTTGAGTTCAGCGAGATTAATTTTGTTCGAGACTGTTGAATTTTCGGTCGAGTTCTGTGCAAAGAGATTTACGAAAACAGCAAACGGTCAAGTAGTGACTCGAGTTCAAGTTCCCGCTGCCGGGATGAATGAACTGTTCGTTTGAGAGCCGAAGAAGGATGAGCAAGGATGAAGGAAGAGGAACTCAAGCGTCAAGTCTCAAGTCGAGTTGCCCTGTTTCCGGTCGACTGCATTGACCTCTGAGGACTCCACGACAATCGGGCAGATCTCACGTTCTTCCTGCAATAGTATTGGCAGTAGAGACAATTTATATCTTCAGGCCCCCAAGAGAGACTAAGTTATTACCGAGAATAAGAAAAAAAACACTAAAAAACGAAGACCGAATTGTATATAAGAAGGTGGTAAATCCTGCTGGGTTCTCGCCAATTTGTGGAGAAAGCAAGGCTCAAAATTTCAATTACAGTAAAATATTTGACCTTTAATGTCTCGATCTTGAACTAATACATATTAGAGCTCCAATATTTTACTGTAATTGAAATTTTTGAAATTTTTGGCCTTGCTTTCCCCACAAAATAATGTGACCCCGCACTATTTTACCCCCTTTTGTACTGAGGAATAATAGATTTGCCTCTTTCTCGTATGACAAGAGCTCTGATAAACGCAATTTTATCCGGGGGCTCTCAAAGCCATCTTTGAATAAATGGGTCAGTTGTGCTAGTCACAGAATTGTGTCTTGGTGCTTTTCGTATATAGGTTTGTAAAAAATAATAAGATCTATTCAAACGCCGAAAGCTATCGCTTATCAATAAACACATCATAATTATGACGCCTACCATCGCGATACTACATACAATGGTATCTCCACCTTGGTCGCAGCTGTGTTCTACGTCGAGCAACCAGCGCAAATGTGTGTATCATTGATTGAAAAAACCAAGTTTGGAGAAATCATGGTTGGGCAGCAGCAGTATTGAACGCAGATCGTGTTATTTTTTGCTAATTTATAAGTTAGAACCATCAAAACACGATTCCATGGCTAGTGCAACTGACCCATTGCGTTAAAAACAGCTTCAACTGTTTTTAACCTCGTTTTTTCACATTTCAATCGTGTTCATACTGCACAGCAAGTTCCTTTCAACGCGCGTCTATTGCACTGAAAAAAACTCCGGTCGTGGAAGCCGTACTTTCGGGCTGTATAGACATACCGCCCACGTTCCGGGCTTAGCACCCAGAGCAATCGAAGCCACGGCTCCAGCACCCGGAACTTTCGGCCTCTGAGCCCGGAACGAACGGTATGTCTGTATAGCTCGTAACTGTTTTTGAGTGTGCAACCTTCTTTTGGATTCTACTGGGACGGGAAAGATTCCATATACACTGAAAAAAAAATTCTCGGCGTTTTTACCAAAGTCCGTTGGTACCTTTACCATCCCACTTTTTTACCGATTATTGGTAATTTTACCAAGACAGACTGGTAAGCTTACCTAAAAACCGGTATTTTTACTGTTTTTTTCAGGTAAGAATACCACTTTTATTGGTAATCAATTCCCGGTAATTTTCCCATTTTATCTCGGTAATTCTACCACAGTCGATAAAAAATATTGACGTTTTTACCAAGGTCCAGTAAAATTACCGAGAAAGTTCAATAATTTTACCGAGATTTCTCGGTAAAATTACCAATTCCATAAATGGTAATTTTACCAAGAAAAAAACTGGGATCAAATAGAACTCTGAATTCTTGGTAATTTTACCTTTTTCTTAGTAAATACACCGAGATTTTTTTTTCAGTGTAGGATGGTCCATCGGTTCTCGTTCCCTTTCATCAATTTGTAAATAGTAGACTCGGTTCACAAGGAAGGATGCTGCTAAAAAAAGAGGAGGCCCAGCCTCGAGGAATGAAACGGTCGGCGCGGAGCGGAGCGTGTTCGCGGATGCCGACGAAAATTGGCAGCTTTCTCCTTTGTAGTCGCTGATTCATTTGGGCGTTTGACACGCTTGTTTACATATTTTTCGGCCCCTTTCACTTTTCAAAATCATTCGGCCCGGCCAGCAGCCGAATGATTGACCGTGGCTAGCCGTGTAATTATGACGCCACTCCTTCGATATTGAGACTTCAGACTCAAACACTCCAGTCATTCCGCGCGCAGTTGCCAGAAGCCCCATTGTCTCAAGTAAAAGAAGTCGCGATTAGAGTCGTAATAAGTTGAGATTTAATGTATCGCGATTGTATCGATGTCGATTTTTTGCAATATTATCGGAGGAAAATCGCGATTTCATCGTATGAATTTGCAATGAAATCGAGATTTAATGTATCGCGTTTTATCAACGTCGATTTTTTGCAATATTATCGGGAAAAAATTGCGATTTCATCGTATAAATTTTCGATGAAATCGCTATTTAATCGGCGGCGATTCATTGCAATATAATCGAATAAAAATCGTGATAAATCGAGTTAAAATTTAGATTTCATCGAACGCGATTTTATGGAGATCAAATTGCAATATAATTGAATAAAAAATCGTGATAAATCGAGTTCTGATCCAGATTTTATCCAACATGATTTTATTGGGATAAAATTGAGACAAGGTCGAGGATAATCGCTCAGATGTTGACGATCCTACCGATTTTATTGTAAAAAAATCGTCAAAAAATCGCGAGTTAATTTGAAAATATAGCGATTTTTCCGTCGAAAAATGCCACTTGGGGTGCATCGGCATCCATTCGCATTATTGGAAGTGAATGGAGAATGTTGTGGTCCGTGTCATTGCTTTGTTGATAAATTCATCTACGATCAAGTTAAATCACTCCGTAAACATAATTTGCTTCATAAGCTCAAATGAACGATCGATGTCTCTGAGAGTGCGCACTCAATTATTCCTTGACCGAGGAAAATAAAAACAAAACATGGTGACAAGAGGAAAATGTGAGAGGTTATCTTTTCTTTTTTTGTGATTCGGCATTCTGAGGCTTCAGTGATAACGCGTTGTCGTCAATTTCTAGCTCCTTCCACTAGCGGTAATCTCCGTGTTGTGCTCGTTTATCAGAAATTCTAGGCTAGGGTAACCTACGGATTAGTGTGCAATTGCTTACTATTTTAATTATAGAGAAACGCTCCGAAGTATCGAGTCTATTTTGACAGGCAAATTAGTCTTTAACTTCTACTTTCATTTTGACTACCAATAAGGGTCACAAGAATGTTTGAACTTATTATTAGTCTCTAGAGAACTTTGTAGTTTCAAAATCCATACCGGATTGAAGAGAGAACCTGACACTAATTTGCGGACAAGAAGATTTCCTCTCGAATCAAAAGTAAAATCGCCTGAACCAATCAGGCTTTTGCTTCATATAAGTGAATTTCTTCTCGATTTAAGCTTTTCTATTTTTTTCCAGAGGTACTTCTTTTTGGCGAGTATATTTCTACTGAAACCAAGTCACTTGTTCTTTCAGTAAATTGAACGTGTATCCACGTGTTTATTCATCGGGGACTGTAACATTTTTTAACTTT